AAAGAGTGAGTGAAGAAAGGCTGGCGTGAGAAAGAGAAGAAATATAAACTTCTTTTGAATGGAAATAGTAATGATTTTTGGACTTCTAGGGGTTTTTTTTGACTTTGCTTCACTGCTTTCACATGTAATCAAGGCCTTGCAATCAGAACATACAGAGCTTTGTTGGGAAGAACTTGGATAAGAGCCTGACTACTGCCGTGAAATGGAAGATACAAACTGTAGTCATCCTTCAGTGATCTGTGGACAGTTTACCTCAGTTGTGGATTAACGAGATTGCAGATAATACAGTTGAAGGCAATGAAATGTTTGGGCATCTTGGGTTAGCCAGGCCTGGCTGCATGGGGTGTGCTGCAGGCTTATCAGCTTGGGCAAGAAGACAGCAAAAGAATGAAGCCAGCTGAGCCATGCTTAAAAGCCATCTTGGATGGTAGCATGAGGCACAAATGGAATATGCTACAGGCATGATGCTGGAATGAATTCATCCGTCATTATGTTTATCTCTGTGATATGAAATACCTTTAATCAACTGAACTGGAGCATGGCTTGATCCTGTTGTTAGCAGGATTAACAGGCTCAAGGCCTTGGCTTCAGGTCCTTGCTCTGCCTCTGATTTCTTATGTCATTTTGGACAAGCCACTTAATATCTCACTGGCTTATTGATGTGCAGGTACTCTTCTACCTCCTCTTGGTGTTAAGAGAGTAAGCATATCCTGAATAATGGAAGCAAAAGAAGTAGGCACTTAGGGTAAGGGTAGCTCCTGCTCACAGATGTTTTACATGTGTGCCTCTGGTTATGTGTCTCTCCTTACAAGCAGAGATCAGAGCTAGATCTGCCATTCAGCATCACAAGATGAAATGAAAAATGCCATGTATTTTTCAGTAGGTAGGATGTAGAGCAAATGCTTTTTCCTGTACGACTGGTTGACATGTCAGAGAATTAGCTTCAATCCTCAGTCTGTAAATGCTGAGTTAAGTGCACGTAAGGGAGTGGAGCTGAGATTTCATGCTGTTACTGTGAGCTCACCTTGTGCCGTCATCAGCAAACCAAGGTTTGAAAGCGATCAGACCCTCCAACACCACACTGATGGAATCCACACCTAAACATGGCAGATCTGTCGAGCCTTGCCTTGAAGGCTGCAAATCCCCCTGTCTAGAACAGACAGCGCAAAGACAGCAATCAAAGCAATGCGTGAAAAGCTTCACTCTGCAACCTGCACAATTACTGACCTATTCAGAGAAACCTCCCCCTTTAGCTTTTAGCTCTGCTAGACAATTTACCCCGTCTCAGCTGTCTTGCTACATTATGTCCTTCAACCCCCCCAGAATTAACGTTTGGAGCCAGCAAACACTGCTGGCTCCACAAGAGAAGCTGAGAGCGGAAAGGTCAGGTCGATTAAAGCACTTGATCAGAATCTTTAACATAAAGACGTCACAGGCAAAACAGTAACACTACTTCACGCTCAGCTAAGAGCAAATGATTCATCAGGCAAGGCTGCTTATTTTTGGAGGATGGCCACAAAAGAGAAGAGAACACGCTGGCTGTATCGATCATGGTTGTAACAGGGCACCGCAGAGCCCTCCTCCAGTTTTGATGGAAATTTAATGTCAGAAATACATCATCCAATGTAAATATATCAATATGTGTTTTACATCAGCTGGTTTTTACAAACGTTCTGGCCCAGCTTAGCAGAATCATTTTGTCTCTGCACAAATCTCAGAGCTGCCATTTAGAGCAAAGGGCTATTTTGCAATGCTCTGCACAGCCTGATGCTGCTGAAGACATCAACCATTTTGTGAGGACTTCTGTAGAGGTGGCTGGAGGAATGGGTGTGCTCTGAAATCTCCAGTGCTTTGGCTTGGAGGGTAGACCTTCGGTGGGTGAAGATGTGCCAGTGTTGAGCAGATGAGCCCTAAAGGATGCTTTCATCCGGCTTACCCTGCCTCCTGCATCCAGAAATGTTTGGAAGCCCTGTTCTAGCACTGCCCAAGCAGCCGCGTGTGCTGCCTCCATGCCTGCTCCTACCTTAAGCTGAGAGCTCCTGCCTGCCCCCTTTACAGCATCCTAATCAGTCTCTGTGTACTCCCTGGTAAGAGCAGAGTGGGTCTCTCTAGTGGGAGAGGGACGTGTTTGTACATGGAGGTGGGAGATGGCAGCCTGAGGAAGGGATCCAGAAATCCAGATTCAAACCCTGTGGCTGTCAAAGGGGGATCATTCTGCTTTGATACCTGCCCAGCAGTTTCCTTCCCTCCTTGCCCTCCTGTTCCTTCCCATCTCTTCCCCAGTGCTAACGAATACGTACTTAATTCATTTAACTCCCATGGCAGTTTGACATCAAGGCATAGAACTCCTCAAAGTTTACAAGATAAATCAGTGTGAGGCAAAACATGAAGAAGAAACTGCAGCCAAAGACAATGACTGGTGAAGAGAGGAAGTGAGAATTCCAGGAGGAAGGATCATTCCCCAGCGGAGTTTGTGAAGGGAGAGTGTAGCGAAGTGTCAGTATGGTGTGATGAGGTGTAAGGGCTGGAGCACAAGGGAAGGTGCCACTGGAAGAGAAGGAGAAGAGGGGCGAGCAGAGGTGACAGACAGGAGCAGTTGTGCAGGATGGCTGGAGCAGGCTTTCAGGGAGATGAAATCCAATGAAGACCCTTTGGATTGCTGAATCCTTTGGGAGCTGGTGAACAGATGATTACAGTGCTCATCCCAGCCCAGAAAATGCTTCTCAGCACCTTGTAGCATACCTAAGACCTTCAGCATGCAAGACCAAGCATCATATGCTGCAAGATACTAAGACAGCCTCTCTGATACAGTGGCTGGAGGGATGGGAGAGGAAATGACTTTAGCTGCAGTGTTTAGGATGCACTGAAGAGGGGAGATTGAAGCAGGATATCTACATATATATAGACTCAAAGGGTCCATCTGTGTTGCATGATACTGCCTAGCGTGGAGACAGTCACAGCTTCACAGCTCTCTGTGCTTTGCTGAAGACCAGTTCCTGGAAAGAGTAATATAACTGTTCTCCTGGTAGTCTAAACAAGCTAGTTCCTTTATGGATACTGCAAGTGTCTCTGCCCTACATTGTATAATGTAGACATGATAAGATCTTGCCAGTAAAGACTTTAAAATAACTCAAGACAAGATCTGCAATGACAAAACCATTGGCCACTAAAAGCAAAGGAATAAAAGGTGAGATGCAGAAGGAGCACTCCTGCACCAGAGGTTACGCTGTGTGAGCAGCAACACCCCACAGAGAGAAATACTTCACACTTTTTATCCAGGCTCATGTTTTCTCTGTAATGGTCTGCTACCTTTTGAGTCAGTGCTCTCCTAATTTAGCCTGCAGCATCAAGTAGTACCCAATACACCCTCAATCTGCAGTTGTGACTCTACCAGCCCCTCTACAGAATTAACTCAGCTCTGAATTAGTCACCCGACGTGCCAGCGCATGTAAAACAGACTCCAGTGAATCACATTTTGTGTGCAGGGACTGAGCTGCAGTAAACACAGCAAGTGGGAGAACCTCAGTCTGCATCTGGGCTTCCATGTCCACAGGGATACTCTGTTGGCTGCACAGCCTCTCTGAGCAGGACAGGCACACCGAGGAGCTGGGAACGGAACCCCCAGCACCACACCACACCTCCTGCCCTCTGATGTGGTCGCATAAAGAATGTGAGGGCATAAAAGAGAAACCCAGGTGAGGCTGGACTAAAAACTGCCTGATGACTGGAAAACAAAAAGACAATAAAAGTCTAAACGTGTCCTCTTGGCCTGAGCTGCTTCAGGTCTGAGTGCCCATCCAGCAGACGCTGGGGAAGAGCACACACAGCATGGCAGCCTGCATTAGGCTTGCTTGGGCTGGGGGAGCTTAACCCCATAGGCAGCGTGTCACCTAGTGATCCCAGCAGTGAGCAAAGGGAAGTACGCTGGAAATGCCAACTCTACTGGTCAGAAGCCAGTGCAGCAGACATCCCCTTGCAGGCTCAGATGTGGCACCCAGAGATACCAGTGATGCAGGCAGCAAGGTGTTTATGAAGGGACATCGATGTGGGGAATTCATCAGCATGGATAGGTTGAGGATCTTGGACCTTCTCCAGCCAGAGCTAGAGGAAGCCAGCTAGGCCATTCCCTTTAAGACAGTCCAATTCAGGAAATCTCAGGGAAGACAAGAAGGAAAAAAAGAACCAAAGAGAAATCTTCTTCTTATGAGGATATTAGATTAATTTTAGCCCACTGTTCTCCTGTGGAAGCAGCAGTGACCAGTGTGTAACATCAGCAGTAATGCCATGTTGGCAGTATATGTAACGTGAGGGGAGGTTGGTGAGAACTGAATTGTGATCTTCAGTTTCCAGCACTTTTGGGATGGAATTGGGGCTCATCCCAAAACCAGAAAGGGGAGATTCAGATTGGAAAGATGTGAGCTGTAATGTTACAAGATGATTTGACTTGTGTGAAATGGCTGTCAGTTGGGGCAGAGATGGTGTTGTTGGTGATGCTCAGTTCAGCACTGTTATTTGAATGGGACCTGGTGGGGCCCAATTTCTAGCAAGCTGATCTTCTGCCAAATACTATCTCCTCAGTCTCTTGCAGCCAAGACAAGCTCAGATGTGATCCATATATCTACCCACAGTGTCTTAGTTTTAATTATTAATGATATCCATAAGAACTGTGGCTGGGCTGGTAAACTCCGGATGGGGCTGTGTACCCAAAGCAATCTAATTCTGATGTTTCTTTCTCTGCAGGGGGTGGAGGGAAACGCAAAGGCAAAAGCAAAAAGTGGAAGGAAATCTTGAAATTCCCTCACATTAGCCAGTGTGAAGATCTCCGAAGAACAATAGGTAAGAGCTTTCCCCTTCTTTGGAAGCATTGCATAGATAAAACATG